CCTACAAAGAGAAGGGAGAAGCAGAGGAAGGCGGGGAAGGGGAATGTGTTGGTGGACGGGCAAGAAGCAGATTCTGAACATGGCAGCAGCAGTAGCGGTGGTGACAGTGGGTTTAGTAGCAGCAGCGATGATGAGGAGGAGGGGTAAGAGGTGGTGTAGGAGTTAATTGAGTAGTAAAACACCGCATATATGTCTGTTCTGCTCTGCTCTGCTCTGCTCTGCTACTATGCTCTGCTCTGCTCTGCTCAGCAGAGTCTGGTTAGCTCTGTGTGTGTGCTACTTAAATCTGAACCCTGAACACTGTTTTTTTTGCCTTGACAGGTTAGGATTAGTTTCTGCAAATGCCCTGAACGTACAGGAAGGCTTTGAGAATTTGCCCTGACAAATCAGGGCATTTTTTAAGATTCTAGAAAGGTGCCTTGAGGCCTCAGGGTGCCCCAAATCCTAGCACGGCCCCTGGAGTGGACCACCTCCCAAACCCTATAGGTTAGGGTTCTTTCTTGTTGGAACTCCACTTCTTGGAAATCACTTTGGTTCTAGCATGTTTCATGCCCAAGTGGGCTCCTAAGGCTCCTAGACTTAAGGAGGAGGTTCTAAGGCTACTAAAGCTTCCACTAGTAACTTAGTCCATTTTAACAAAGTAGAGTGACGGTTGCGCGGAACATGGGTAGTGCATAGGCTTGGAAAATGGTTTTCTCAGATCCAGCCTTGCAGTTGGACAGCTGAATATGGAGGGCAAGAGACTAGGTGCAGAAGGGAAAGATACATGGTGTACCTGCTTTATTTTGAGTGCAGCAGACTGTATAGTTTCTCTTTACACAGCTTTCATGTTTATTCGAGAATGGTCCAATCTTATCTACATTCAGTAGAACATTATTTTAGGACAAAATGTATGTTTTACTAACAAATCTCCATGATATCATGGATTCAAAGGGGTGTAAATTAGTGACAGGCAGCCAGACAGAGAGTTCTGCTGGCTGGGGTGTGTGGGATAGCACAGAGGGCAAAGATGGATCAGGAAGAAGTGAGCCTGTGTCTGCATGGAAAAAGGAAACCTGTCATGCATGCTGCTGCGCACTTGAGCCTCAAACTAGTTGCCATTATCCTTCCTCAAAAGTCACCCATTTCTCTCAATGCTTCTGTCACCACTGCCTTCAGCAACCTGTTGTGAATTACAGCAAGCAAAACACAGTGAGAGAAGCAATAAACACTTCCATTCCTTCCAACTGGACGGGATTTGACTGGGATCCAGGCAATTAAAGACTTCCATTTCATCTCACCCTCTTCCTGTAGTGTGCTGCACTGTGTCACCGCAGACCACACAGTTTTTGAACCAGCCAAGTTGAAGGGCACGAGTGAAGGGCAGGCATACTATAAACAATGTGAAGCGTTTGAAGAGTAGATGGATGTGGTACGGAAATGAGGCGGGGGATGGAGTGCACGGCACAGCTGCCCCCATACTACCTTATCCCATAAGAACACACGATTTGGGCCTATTCAGTATGAATAAGAATCAAACTCACACACATGGCTGGTCATGTGGTTCATATACAGCATAAGCTGAACCCACTCCAGCCACGCTTGTTCGGCGATGGTACGAAGGGCAGGTCATGGTGCGATCTTATGATCAAACTGCTGACAGCAGGAAGAGAGGATAGGGTGGATGAGATATAAGGTATGAGATGAGGTACGAGACGAGGCATGGGATGAGGCATGGGATGAGGCATGGAATGAGTGATGGGATGAGGTATGGGATGAGGCATGTGGGATGAGGTATGGGATGCAGTATGGGATGAAGTATGGGAGAGGTTTGAGATATGGGATGAGGTATGGGATGAGGAATGAGGTGCACTTCCAAAGCTGTCCCAACACTGGGCTGACATGATGGCTAGTGGAGGAGGAGGACGTGAGAGGCAATGGGAAGGCAATGGTGGGTAAAGGAGGATGATGGGGGGCCGAAAGGGACTCTTGGTTCGTGCATATGGGGTGATGTAACGAGGAGCATGACATGATAGGGTGAAGGGCATAACAAAACGAGATCAACCGGGTGGCAGGGGATGCTGGGGTTTGATGATGAATGTATGAACCAAGGGAGAGATTGTGGCTACGGTGATGCTGCTTGGCAGGAGTTGTGGGGATGCAGATGGGAGGGTGATGGTGTGAGGAGGACCTGAGATGGGGATGGACAATTGGTTTATGTTCAGGTTGAATGGCAAGAAACGGTTGACAGATGAACGAGGGTGCCATGAAGTGAAGTGACGTACAGAGCACAATGTAGTTGTATGAATGAGCAACACGGCATGCGGGGAGGGTGGAGGAGCTGAATGGGGTGAGCGGAGGACTTGGAGATGAGAAGGGAGACATGAGGGAGAATGACAGGGAGGGGGTGGTAAGAAGGATACGAGATGGGTGCACAAGAGAGAAGATGGGAGGGGAGGAAGGAGGGGGAGCAGTGGGGAAGGAAAGGGAAGTTGAGGGAAAGGAGAGGGGGGGAAGAAAAAGGACGAAGGTGGGGGATCAAATGGCATGATCATCCAGGAGGGAAGGCTCCTTCCGCCAATTCAGCCTCTTTGTGCCCTGCTAAGTTGCAAAATACGCTTATAGCGTATATACGCGTATCGTATATACGCTAGCGTATATACGCTATACGCGTAAGGGAGCGATTTGGACATACGCTTTTTGGGGCAGGAAAAAAACTTTCCCGGGCAGGGAAAAAAATCCGCCCGGGCTATTATAGGGGGGGGATCTAAGGGGTTATGTTTCAAAGGTAAGTTTTTCTCCATTCCAAGATAACCACCCTTGTCTCGGCCAGGGCCTCAGATTCACTTTAAGGGTCGTCACCCCATCAGGGTCCCCCTACGTGTTAACTCTGATTTTCAGTGTCCCAAAATTAAAAAAGGCTGAAATGTCAGTGTTGCGATTTTTTAAAGCCTGATGCATCAGTGTACCTTTTGGAAAAACATTGACTCTATTTTAAAGTCCTACTTCTAGATGGCAGAAACGGTGGATGGGCTGGGCGGTGTGGAGGATGGCACGGTGCTTGCCAGCACAGCCCAAACCTAACGCATCGCACATGATGGGTACGGGGCAGGAACCTTGGCAGCCCGCCAGCACCACATGTCTGCCACATTCGGATTCGCCAACACTGGATGCTGCAGCGAAACGGCCCAATGGTGTGAGGCGCCCCGCCAAAAAAACACCTCTCAACGTGAACCTAAGGCAACATTTCTAAGGGTGGTCCCGCCACGGGTTGCCTACATACAGGGAATCTGAGATTCCCTGCAATTGCGGTCGAGGTGACATGTCACAGGTGAGATTCGCTTTCAGTGTCGGTTTCGTTACAACGTAGTGGCATCAGTGTACAACGGGAAAAAAACCTGAAATATCAGTGTGGCCAACAAAAAAACGCTGAAAGATCAGTCCTACAAAAATCCCAACTCTGACTTTTCAGGGTAGCTTGAAAATCGGTTGCCAAAATCAGGAATTTCAGGGTTTTTTTCCTGATATCTGAGGCCGTGGTCTCGGCCCAAAATCGGGTTAAGATGCAGAGTTCGTAGGCTATAGACTGCAATAGCGTTGCGCGAATCTGCTCTGCTTCGGGCTCGCAATCCCAAGGCATGATTGCTAGAGTGTATGAGGAGGCGTAGGAGAGATCCTGGACAGGGAAACCATTGCCAATGCTGGAATTCGTGCACCACACCCATCGCCAATGTTGCCTCCAACCAATTCCCCCTCCCATCACCTATCTTCAGCGCAATGCATCTATCTCATCCAACCAATTTGATATTTGAAATTTGTACAGTCGTCACGTCACTTCCAGTCCAGATCTACAAGACGTTGATATAGGGAGAGTCTTTCCCCCCATCCCTTCTGCGGGAAGAACCTTCAATCTGCGCGGATCTGCAGGGAAGGGAAATTGCCGATCAGCGCGGAAATTGCCGTTCACTCTTGCACAAATCGCGGACGTGAATTTGACGGTGGCAAAATGCTCGTCATGCAATTCCGCATCTTTCCGTATATTCACATTTTTTTCGGTCGGGCTGCCCCAAAAACAATTGGCAAGCGTATAGCGTATTAGCTTGCATTTAGCGTTTAGCGTGTAGACGCTAGCGTATATCCGCTAAACGCAGTGTCCTGAGCGTATTTTGCAACTTAGGTGCCCTGAGTGAACCCATATCGGAACGGCCCAGGTTCGACTCGGACGTAACAAAATTTTCCGAGTTGCAATGGAGGAGGGGTGGGTACATGGAGAAGGGGGATGGGGTGCGGTTTGCGAAAAAATCAGATTTTGGATTACGTCATCATGCAAAAGTCAATCTCTGCTGCAGAGACACCCCATTCCCCCCAACCCTCTCCCCTTCCACCTCGCCCTGGCAACCCGAAATCCTGTACAGACGTAAAGTCACCATGCCCTCTTCCACCCTATCCCACTCCACGTCGCCCCCTTGCTCACCCCACACCTTCCCAATGCCTTTCGCCGCCACAGCAACCCCCCCAACCATGCCAAATGTGGACGTGAGCGCATCTACTTGAAATCGCGAGTTTTGCTTAACTCGACTTGGTCGAGTTGTGTCCCGAAAGAAGATCAATCTCGTAACTCGGTTTGTATGCCCATGTATAATGCTGTCGGTGTGCGAAGGGGAAGGCAGTGGGAGAAATGAGGGAGGAGAGCTAGGGACATCGGGTAGCTGATAGCATCACACAGGGAAAAGAGGTGATTAATTTCGTTCGATGGGGATTTTTTTGTGCTGCTTAACGCGCGTAAATCTCCTGAAAAAGTCCCCATTCCACCCTGCCACAGCTGCCCAGTCGTTCTCTGCAGCATCACGCCGCTGCCGCTGCTGTCAAGGCTGTGCCGCCCCATCACCATGCTGATGCTGTGACTGCACTCCACACTGCTGCCCACCATGCCACCGCCGCCACCATTGTGGGCACTGCGGCACTGCCATGCTGCCGGTGCTGCGGGAAGCCCAGGGAGGAGGAGGCGTCTGTGAGTGAGAATGGCATCGACTGCCAGCAACTACGTGACACATCCATGCTCGCGCTCCTCCTGCCTATGCTGCCCGTGCTGCGTGTGCTACCTATGCTGCCTGTTCCTGCTTGTGGCCGCCGCACTCCCTCCATGCCTGGGTGACCTTGTCTCCCTGCCCCTGCTATCCCACCTCCTCCGCTCATGTTCGTATCAATGAAACTGCCGCTCATGCTCCCCCCCATGTTCTGACCCAAGGTCCCCCAAACCCCCCTTCCCCTCCCCACCCCTTCGCATGCTCCCACCTCTGCTCCGCCTGTGTTTCCACAACTGCTCTCGCCCATGCTGCCCCCAAGTCGTCCCTTTGGGGTCGCTCAGCAGAGGAGTTGGTGCTGAGGAGGAGTAGGGGAGGCAAGGCGAGGCGTGCGGAGGAGGGGCTGGGGTGAGGGGCCTGGCATGGGCAGCGGGGGGAGAAAGAGGAGAGGCGAGGAGCTGGTGGGACGAATGTGAGAAGCAGAGACGTGGTGTCGGATGGCATGTCGTGGGGGACAGTCACAGCGGGCACGCATGTGCAAAGCATACCCAAAGAGCGAGGGAGGGCGGTCATTGAAGCAACGTGCTGGACACAGCCTGCCACCATCCGCACCACCACGGCCGCCGCCCGCCAGTATGCGCGTTCCCCTCGCCCAAACTCCCTGCTAACCCCACGCTACCTGCCTCTCGCTCCTCACTCTGCCTGCCCTCAATTCACCCTGCCGCTCCACTGCGCCGGCTGCCTGTCTGCCCACCGCACGCAGACGAAGCTGCCGCAAGCTGGGCTGGGGGGGCGAGGCACCGATGCTCACACAAGCAGCAGCTTCAGCTGCACCAGCAGCATGGACGCGCCTCTCCAGCCCACTCACTCGTGCACACCGGCCCCACGCACCCTTCTCCATTGCGCTCTCCCCTTCCCCCTCCCCATCATTCTCACAGAACGGACCTCACCCACCCCCACTCCCCGCCTCCCCCACTTCTCTTCCCCGCTGTCCACGCCCAGCGCCCCCAGCTCGTCCATCAGCCACCGCCGTGCCCTCTCGCCCCCACTTCTCTTCGCCGTGGTCGCCACCTCCCGTGCCCTCTCGCCCTCCCCTTGCTCGGAGAAGTTGTTGCGGGACGCGGGGCGGGGGAGGAGGCTACAGCGACGGCGCTGGGAACGCCACAGCCCTCGGTGAAGGGAAGGGGAAAGAGAAGGAAGGGTGGTGGCAGAAGAGTGGTAATCTGCCATGCAAGGAGAACCTTTTGCGACTGGTGCATAATTGACAGGCATATCTCTTCACCACACCTGCCACTGTTGCTGCCACTGCCCAGCCCTGTAACGCGTTGTTTGAGGAGAGGCGGAGGGCGCAGTGACCACATAGGGAGCGGGCATGGGGCCACCCGACTGTGAGAGCAGGGATGGAGGGGGAGATGGCGTGGTCCAGGGGCGAGGAGGGCCCTACGGGCATGGTGTGGCTGGCGGGTACGAAGGTGGGGTAGGCGGGGTTGGGGGGGAGGAGAGGGGCGCCGGAATACTGTGGCTTGTGCTGATGGATTGAGACGGGCACGGGGAACAGACTGGAACAGGGACAGGGGCGCAGGCACCCCTTCCCCAACAGCCACTTTGTCAGCCGCGAATCCACTTCCGCCGTTTCCGCCCATGCCTATCTGCGGCCCACACACCCTGCAACCGCTCACGCTCACCCTCACCCTTGATGCAGCGGCAGCTGCTGCTCCCCCTCAGGCTGTGACCACCCTTGCGTGGCGGCACCCTGCAGCTGCGTTGGCCCCAACGGCACGCACCCTGTCGACTGCCCAGCAAGCGCTGCCTGCCTGTCTTACTACTCCACCCTCGCCACCCTGCTCTCCACCCAAGTCCCACTCCTCCCGCATCACCGCAAGCACTCTGCTGTAGACGCGGGTGCCAGTGGTGCGCGCCTCGAGTTTCCCGCGAACGACCGAACGACTGCTTCTATCCGCTAACACGCGTCCATGTTTACACTGCTGCTGATGTGAGAATCGTGAACTGCCAGCTCCACCCTGCGACGCTGCCCTTTCCAAGTGGAAGGCGGCAATCACCTGCGGGATAGCGCGGGTTGGGCGGGGGAGGGGGGGAGGGGGGGGGGGGGGGACGGGGGGGGGGGGGTGGGGGCGGGGGAAAGTGGGGAGGTCAGGGCGACGGAGAAGAAGGCATCAAAATGTGACAGCTGGCACATGGGGTAGCCAAATGACAAGGATGTGAGCAAAGGGGGGGTTGTCGTGGCAAAACTCGCCTCGACGCACCTTGGCTCGCATCACTCGCTGCACCAGCGATCGCAGCACACGCGGCACCACCCACGCCTCCACGCCTTCCTCCCCCTCGCCCTGCCCATCCTGCTTCCCCTCGTCCCCCATCTCCCTCCTGCCAGGAGTTCCCGCGGCCAACGAGAACACGACCGCCACCAGCACCACCCGCAATGTGGCCTCCACCACGCGCCGCGAGGTCTCGCGGGTTCTCGTGCCAGATGCATGCATGCTGCCACGGAAAATGTGGCGATGAGAGCCAGCGCTGGAAATGGCTCGCATGGGAAAGCTATGCTCAGATTCACTCTGCCGCATCCGCGGAGTAGCGCCAGAAACCCGGGCACGGATAGGCGATGACGCGCATTCCGAGTTCTGCTACGGCGCAGCGGTGCGTCCAAACACGTCCAGCGCGACGAGTTCTGCGAATTTTAGTGATGCGATGCAGCGATGAAGTTGCAGGCGCACGCGGAAACATTGGCACGAAGAGATGGCTTCGCCATCCCGCCCCTCGCCTTCGTCGCACGCAACAAGGCTGACGGTGTAGGGGTCTTGCGAAGAGAGGATCATGGTCCCAACGCGCGCAGTGACGTTGTTGAATATCGCACGCTCGCAATGCAATTAATTGGCGAACATCGCCTTCACGGCGCGCTACTATGGGTAGACTGGCGAGAGCGACAACGTGTCGATTGGATCCAGTCGCAGCGTTCAACGCAGTGACATACATGACTTTTCACGGCACGTGACGGCAGTACCTGCTCTCGAATGCGGAGTAGCGCAGGTCTCAGCTGTTTGCGCGGTAGGTGCTAACACGTACTAAACTAGGTTCTGTCAGTTTTAGAAACAAGCAGTATAATTTGGAAGACGAACTTGGGGCGAAGCATTCTCGAAACTCAACGGTCAGCCGTGCATACAGCAAGGCAATCTCTAAACAGCTTTGCCGAAGCAATTGTACCTTCGTTTAGGGTTACACATGCTTGGCGAGAGAGTTTCGCGCATCCTCTTTAAAATTTCTCCCTAGCCCCTGGAGCCTTCTCAACACCTCTAGGATTCAGACCAAATCACACCGAACCAGCCGAGCCGAACCAACTCCCGTCTGTAGGCGTTTCTCCACTTTTCAACAACAGTTTTTTATTTCCACACCCAACACTCTGCGAAATTCTGTAGCGGTTTCTCCACCCCGACTGGGACCAGTCGGAGTGAGGGCCTCCCGAACAGCGCCTAGGTCTTTCAAACCGTAAATCATCAGAACTACCCTAATTATGTCGCAAGTTCATCCCAAAAATGGTGAGGTGTGTGCTGGAGAATCGAGATTCTGCCGCCCCAGCCCTTTGCACATAAGCAGCAGCAAGGGGGAATGTCGGCGATGAATCAGAGGCTTCGTGAAGTACTTCGAAAGTTCCACCACCAATCAGATTTCAGCCGAAGACTCGATACAGTTCAAAGCTGCCTTTAAACCGAAGTGTTGGCAGTTTCTACAGGTTTCTACACATCAGAATCAGCTATATCAGAAATATCCAGAGTTTTCTTATTCATGCACCTCATGTGGCACTCAAAGTCACTCAATGTCCATCCAATCTAGATTGTGCCCAAGTTACTAGGAAAGTTACATTGTCTATCAGCCTAGTTTGAGCTTTCAATCTGTCTTGTTTGTGATGCCTATAGAGTTGTGCTTTAGTGGGCTTGTTAATCTTAAACATAGAGAAGTTTTACCTCATCCAGTCAATTCCAGCAGCCCTGCTAAGACTTTCCAGCCAATTTTCCAGCCCTCCAGTAGTCACAGCTACTCTGTTTTATAAGTTGGTATCAGAGCTCGTCGTTTCGATCAACCTAGCCCGCCACGTTCCTATCCTAGCACCATACGAACATGGCGGGAGACAATCCATCTGGTCCTACACTCCAGCCAGCCGGAGGAGCTTCAGAGTCAACATCAGCAGCTACTGGTTTAGTGGAAGCAGTTGCACCACGCAGTCCTTCAACAACATGCTCACCACGCACCTCCTTCATGCCTAAGCTTCACCTCCCCAAGTTCAACAGCAAAGATTTTCCAACATGAGCAACTCAGTTTGAGCTCACTGCATCCCTTCTAGATCTGTGGCCTTACTACACTGGAGAAGTAGCCAAACCAGCAGCAGATGCTTCAGAAGCTGAAAAACGACTTTACGAACGACGCAACAAGGATGCCTTCCTCTACCTACTCAATAGCATTCACGAGCAGCAGTTGAAGTTGTTCCCGCCCTGTTCTACCAAGACAAACAGTGCAGAGGAAGCATAGAGCCGACTGAAGACTATGCACCAGTCAAAATCCGAGAGCAGCCAAGCCGAGATGTGGAGCCGCTTTATGAATCTGAAGATGGAAGAAGATGAATCAACAGAAGCCTACCTACAACGAGCTGAAGCAATGTAAGAGGAAGTAGTAGCGATCGGCTTGGAGATTCCAGAGTCTCTTTTTAAGACCGTCATTCTCACCGGCCTTACACCGGAGTGGGACACTTTCCGTGCAACACTACAAGCGCTCCCGCAGTCAATGAAGAGTCGTGCGTTCATCTTTGAGGCACTTGTCAACGAGCAGCAGAGTCGAGACCTTGCACGTAACAAGCGGAGTGACGAAGGTGCGTGGAGTGCTGCAGCAGCCACAAGATATGGCAACCAATTCCAGAGGCAAGGAAATTTCAGCCCAAACCGCCCTCAACCCTACTACGGCACAAAATTTCAGTCACCTTCCAACCCATACAAACCCTCTCGTTTTCCTCAGTCAAGTCCCCCCTATAAGTTTAGTCCCGATGTCCAGCCAAGGCCTTCGATTCCCAATCAATATCAGCCTAGGAATGCAAGATTCAATAAGCCAAGAGTCAATAATTTCAGCCAAGCCCCGAATGCTAAAAAGTTCAATTTTGAGTGTTTTTGTTGTCATAAGTGGGGTCACCCGTGGTATGCTTGTCCCAAGAAGCCTCCTAATTGGGTCCCCCCACCTCAGCTACTATCTGAAAAAGGTAAGGCAGCCATAGCAAATATAGCAAGTCATTCTACAAGTCAAGATGAGTCCAAAGAGTCCGATGGTCCTTTCCTTTTTAACGCTGCTACTTGCATGCCCTTTTTCTCTACTAGTAGTGAGGAGTTTATTCTTGATAGTGGCTGCTCTGAAACCATGAGTCCTTATCAGTCCGTTCTCAAGGATTTTCAGCCCTCATATGACTCAAAAGCTGTGACTCTTGCTGATCTTGGCAAAGTACCAATCAAAGGAGTCGGCAAGCTTGAGTTTGAAAAGGATGGTAAGTCATTTTGTGTCAATAAAGCTTTGTTTGTTCCTGATTTGGGAGCAAACTTGCTCTCAGCCGGACAACTCGAAGAGAAAGGTGCCTCCGTTCTCTTGCAAGGGGGGAAAGCCAAAGTGTGGGACAGTGCACGAAATCTGGTGGCTGAAGGCGAGCATACCGGGCGGCTCTACTAGATGAAGTTGGAGATTAAGCGCGGTGTTAGCAACAAGAAGAATGACGTTGTCTCGCTTCCCGCTGTTTCAACCGATCAAGTCAACAACAAAGGGAGTATTTCCCAAGCTGAGGTATGACATGCACGCTTGGGGCACGTGGGAGTGCAAGCATTAAAAGAGAAGGTGAGATTATGGCTACAGCAGCTATTCCAAGATGGAATACCCACTTTCACATTGGGAATTCAGAGGCAAGATTTCATCGCTCTAGAAGGAATATGTGCGCTCAAAAGTGATTTTAAGGCTGGTTGGATAAGTGTGTGTGCTCACAAGTGCAGATCTTGCTCAGCTCGCGATTGAGTCGGCATTCAAACAGATTGAGCCGGCAGCTCCGGCAGGAGAAATCTACTTGACTGGGAAGGCAAGACGCAAGCCAAACGTTAGCATTTTGACACTAGATGTTTAATGGACGGATTGACCAACTGTTTATATTATTGTCAATGTCCATAAAAATGAACTCTGGAGGCTCAGTTAGGGGGCCTCATAACCTTGCCCATACATCTTACCGCCTGGACATTTCGGGACCATATAGTGAGGCTAATGTGGAGAGATTCGCAGCAAATCCTCACCACTGTGAGTGGCGAGATGGACCGGCGCACAACAGTGACAGGTCGATGTGGTCGCACAGGAGGAATGACTGCATTCTCTCTCCACCAGTTCAGGGGCACCTTCCATCCCCAGTGGATCTCAATTCACATTCATGCTAGTGCAGACTCCCTCCTCCTCATGCATAGCTTGTATGCTCGTTCTCAAACCAAGTTGCTCAAATCACACCATCAGAGGCCCCTGTATGTATCAATCTGTGCGAGGTCAGTTAGGGCTCTCTTTCTGGATTCCTTGCCGATACTCACAATCCTTTGAGGCTGCTCATTTTGCCGATGGTCGATGGAATAGACCCACTCAGAGCGTTGTGGCCAAGATATCTGATGGTAAAGCAAGCGAAGTATATTGTGGTTGGAAACATTTGAAGACAACTTGACACCTCTGTCCTCTCTCAAAGATCTGCGGCTTGGTTATTGCAGTGGTGTGACAGATGCCAGCATCGTGCATCTGGTGAGGCTTACAGGGCTTGAGAGGCTTGATCTGGATGGCACGGCAGTCACGGATGATGGGCTGCAACAGCTGACTGCCCTGACCAAGCTGACATATCTCTATACGCCTTGGCAGCTGAATGCGCCCCACCAATATGACAATTTCGTTTACACCAAGATGACAGATCTCTATACCTTGAAGTTGCCTATGTATGCAGACTTATAGGAAGGTACGGTAGGTTGGCAGGGAGCGATGTGGAAGGGAGGGAGATGAGTTGAGGGAAGAGTTGGCTGACTGGTATGAGGCAAGGGGACTGAAGCATGAGGGATGGAGCACATGGATGGCTATGCCAGTCAGAGGCTAGGCTCTTGTTCACAGTAATGAGCAACCTCCGTTTGATCCGTACACAAACATGGGTAGTGGAAGCAAGGGGTGTGGATAATAGTGAACACACGACCTATTTCTACACAGCCTGCCAGAAATGCAAATCGCATATTAATATACTTGTCCTTGCCGGGATTGTTACACGAGCAAGGGTACCGTAATTTGGTTGGCTGGCTTGGCTTTGAGCCTGCAATGTGAGCCACAATTGACTCACAATCAAATTACATCGTATGTCTTATGAATGACCTCACCACTTACCACATTCCAAAACAATAAAATCTTATGGTCTTTGAAGAAATAATACCAGTATCAAAGACCTAGAGGAGGCATT